ATCTGGCAACATCTGTGGTCCGGAATGATTTTACTTAGTCAGATGTCCACTTATCATGGGTGTGGCCAAGCTTCCCATAAAGTTTGCTTACAGCCACCAGTCCTGACTCTCAGTCTTCTGTGCTATTATTTAGCTCTAATTTACCCCTGTCTCCTAAGAATCCAGTAAGCAGTGGAAGTGTTGGTAATGCAGCTAGACAATATTGACCTCCCGTGGTCCAGCAAATTCTCTGGTTTGCCACTGATCAGTTCCGGAGGGTAAGGACTAGAGAGGTTCAACCTGTGCCTAATCTGTCTTCCCATCTCTCCAAAAGAAGCCAAAGGCACTAGTACATGCGAAGGATAACACAGTAAAGCAAATGTGGAATGCCTAGGCCATACTGGTTTTGAAACATTATAGACAAAAAATCTGAAAATCACCACATTTTTTTGAATTCTATTACATTTATTCACTGTCCAATTTCCTTCAAACATTCCACGAAATCTTTACTATGGAATAATATCATGGACAAGAAGTTTTAGGAAGTATGATTTGCTTAAAAAGGGATTTTCTGACTGAGGCAAACTAGAATGCAGTTTCAAACATTCAAAACGCAATCTATTTTGCCATATTCCCATGGATATTGACAAATGGTTTCAATAAGATAATTCTTTTCACCACAATTTTTTTCTCCTATGCAATCCTGCAGCAAAATCGTTATCCTGCGTTTATAACGTAACAGCAGGTTGCTATGAAAATGATTGAAATGACAGAGTTCAGCATTTCCAGAAAGTAGGTAAAGATGGATTAAAATTAAAATAGGCTTTATTTAAACCACAAATATTATAGCTACTAATAAGGGAACAAGGAAAACTAAATACTTAGTATCATAGTCTGAAAGGTGAGGAGTTTCATTTTTAAGTACTGCTTGTTTAACTGTTTTTCCATTGACTCAGAGCCCCTATTTACAAGAACAGTTGGGAATGAATGAGCATTTTGTGCTCCAAACAAATGACATCATAGGGCTCCATGTCATCCATTCTCTTAATAATAGATCAAATCTGCTCAACTTATTATTAAGATATTTTTCTTTAATGGGGAGAATCCCATAGATTTCTGTGGTACTTTGTTGATGGTGAAAAGGTAGGGTTGGTGCAACTGCTACCAATGACAGGATTCAAGAGCATATATTCCCTAAGTATCTCTTTCAGCATTTTCCTAAAGCATTCCATCAGCTTATCTATCTGAGGATAATAGACTGACATCTTTAAGGTCTTGATTTTCAAGAGGTCAAACAATTCCTCCATTAGCTTTGAAGTAAAGTTGAGGTCAGTCAATATCTCCTTCAGTATCCATCTGTGCAAAAATCTTCATTGCACAGCTCGGTGTTGATAGCTGCCACAGTGGATGTACAAAGGAGGATGGCTTCTAATCACCATGGGTATGTCTAGACTGCATCCCTTTATCGGCAGAGGGATGCAGAATAGGCAGGTCCAATTGCAAATGAGGCAGGGATTTAAATCCCTAATTTGCATAAAAATGGCCACCACGTTTTGCTGACTCATCACTTTGTTGGCAAAAAGCGGCAGTCTAGAGTGGGATCTGTCGAGAAAGAAAGCCCGACAGAAGGATGCAGTCTAGACATACTCCATGTGATGAAACCCATTATCACCAGAATGCACTGGTATGTGGTTACATTCTACTCCAGTGCTCCCTTCAGGCCCATACTATACTAATCCTCTCAAAAGGGACTCGAACCACTGGGAGTGGGATGGGGGATGATTACCACAGGCTGGGGAAGCCTATGCTTCCTGAAATAACCAGGCATGTCTTCAGGCTGACCACCCCCTGGCCTTCTGCTTACACACTGCAGCCTGGCTCCAGGGGCTGAGGCCATGCCATCTACCCTCCCAACATTCCAAGGCTGGGGGGGCATGGTGGTGCCACCCGTCCTCCCAGCATTCCAGGGCTGTGGTGGCACTGTCTGCCTTCCCAACACTCTAGGACTGGAGGGAGTGCAGCAGTGCCATCTGCCCTATCTCCTGGCTCTGTGGGACAGGTAGTGCTGTTGTGGCACTGTCTGCCTCCCACCCAACACCCCAGGATTGGGGGGCTATGGCCACACTGCCTACTCTCCCTCCTGATGTTTCAGGGCTGTGTGGGAATCTCCTCCCAGCACTTTGGGGTGGTAATCTGGGGCAGGGACTGGTGGCTGTAATGGGAGGGCTTTGGCGAGGGGCAGAAGGTACAGGGCTTGAAGTTAGCCTCTCACAGCCGGTAGTTTATGCACCACCCATGGGTGGAGCTTTGGGGCACTGTCCTTTGACAATCCAAGCACAATGTGCAATGGTCCATAATCTTTTTATGTACCCTCGGCCAATAAAATTTGAGGGCCATGCTTTCAAGAGTCTTCTCTTGTTCCAGCTGTCTCCTGCAACTGCACTGCATGTGCTAGTGTAGCATTTCACAGCAGAGTTTCTTCAGGACAAGAAGCTATACTGCTTACTTCTCTGATTTGGAGGTCCCTCACCATCTACTCTCCTCTGAGTTCAAATCAAAGCCACTGCTTCATTAGTAATGCATTCAGGAGGATCTGACAGCCTGCACAGTCCATTCAGCAAGTGCAGGGGGGAAGGCTCTGTGCTCCCGGAAGGGGCAGGGTCTCTGACAGAAGAGGCAGGACTGGGGCAGCCAGCTCTCCGTGCTGCCCAGAACACAGTGTGAACACCCCAGCCACAGAGCCACCTGGAGCACACAACACAGCATGCCAGCAGCAATTTAAAGGGACCAGAGCTCACAGGCCCCAGGAAACTAGAACCTTTGCCTCCCTTTCTCCGTTGGCAGCCTTGCATGCATTTATCATCTCACCAATTTTTACTGGCAAGTTGGTCATATGCCTGCTTAGGGTTGAGTTGTCTTTATGCTTGCCTACAAAATCTAGGTTTCTGGAGGCTTGCAATAGCTGTGGATCATCCAGACTAGAATTGGTATGTGGTTCCTTGTAGCTTGCTCCCCTCACCAAGCCCACAGGTCTGTAGTTCATTCAATCTGTAGATCTTAATGAGCATTTTCAGGCCTGCATGTTCCACTGGCTGGGTCTGCACATCTCATAAAGTTTTCTGTCAGCCATATTGTGATGGCCAGTGCCTCAGGCCTGTGCCACAATCCCTGCTCCCATCCCTCAGCTAGGAGATTTCTATACATTGCTCCAGCATGACCTACTTGGCCACCAGTTCTCTGGTCTGCTTTTTGGGCTGGAGTCACTACTAAAATTGTTCTTTAAAAATCTGGGCTGCTATTTGCGGTCAGGCTTCCATTGGAAATTTTTCATGGTGAAAGCACAATTAGTGAGTCTTGGCCACAATATCAAAGAGGTCTAAAATGGCTGCCTTGAGTTGTGCATAGTCTTGCATGTCCACAGAGCTGAGGGTCCAATATACATCTTGAGCTGGTCCAATATGATAAAGTGCCAGAAAAATAGCCCAGTGTACAGATGGCCAATGAGTGCTGCAGTGAGCCTCTCAGAACTGAAAAGGAAAGCATGCAGGTTGTCCTGAAGTCTTATCTTTGTGACTTTTATGAGAGGGCTTGGGGTTGAGATGCAGTTCAGGGTCCCAGCTGCTAGTCTTTCATGGGTATAAAAGGGTTGCCACCTGCTGGACCAGGCATTTTTGCTGCTCTTGAGGTTTTGCCATGAGGTCCCAGATGAGTTGTTGTTGCTATTGGGTGCTTACTGTTGCGTGGCCATTGGTTGAATCAGCCAGTTCTGTTTCTGCTGTTTCTTGGAGGCTTGAAGCTGTTGGCTGTCCATCAGCCCCCTTCAACAGTTTATGTATCTCCACACTTTCCTCCTCCCCCAAGGCCTTACAGAAGACCTGGGATGAGAAAGGACATTCTCCATCAAGTTGTGATGGGCAGTGCTCCTGCTGACAACACCTAGTGTTTAGGGTATTAGACCTCTGCTCACTCTGCTGCCAATGTTTCTCATTGGCCATTCTCATGTCCACTGGGGGTCTGCCTGGTGGTGGGTGCCCACCTGACACTTTGGGTAAGTCACTTATTAGGCCCCAAGGAAAATACTAAGTCCTACACACTCACAACTGGGGGGAACATGAAGCCTCCTGTTGACCCCCTGCAGACATCCAGTCCAAACCTCAGTGGTTTCAAAGTTTCAATCCTATCCTTACTTCTCCAAAGGTGAGTCTGGAACTGAAGGTTTTAATGCTTTTATAATAAGCGGGGTTGGTAGGAGAGCCCAGGCCCTTCCACTTCACTGGACCCTATCCCAGGACCCAGCTGTGGACCCTATAAGAGGCGACAATGTCCTGCACCCAGGCATGTCTTCAGGCTGACCTCCCAGGGCCACTTCCTACCACCCACTCTCCCAACAAAATCTTATAGCTTGACATAAAGTAGTAAAGAGAGTAACAGAACTTTTCACCCTCAGGGCTCAGAAAGCAGACTTTTTCCCAGGGAAAGAATTCTGGGGCATTTACCTCTCAGGTTACGTCTCTCTTCCTGTCCTGCCAGGCATTTGCTGAGCTGTCTGGCTCCATTTTAAGCCCCACTTCCAGCTGTAGCATATTCTGCAGGTGAGGTGGATGGAGTCGCCTAGACCCAGATATGCTCCTGACTCCCTTCTGTACCCATGTGGGGTTTATATACCCCACCACAGTAACCCATTTGACTACAGACTGGGGTGAAATCCTGATCTCACAGAAGTCAATGACAAAATTCTCTTTGACTTCAATGAGGCCAGGACTTCACTCCAGATCCTCAATTAGGATATATCAGTGTAACACCACTGGTATCACTAGAGCTAGGCCAATTTATATTAGCTGAGTATCTGACCTTAAATCTGTAGTTTACTGGATATATATTTAGCACTTTCCTAAACTGCTATGAAGGGGTGAGGCAATAAAAGTAACACGCATGTGCGCGCGTACACACACACACAAAAGGGAAAGAAAAGCTTTAATATTCCATATATATATATATTCTAATTATGGTTTCTTTCTTACCTCACAGATACAAGTAAACTGTGGTTCAATTTCAGCTGTCTCAGATTAGGGAGATAGGTACCTGCAGGATCAGTACAAAGAATCGGTTTGTAGAACTGGTTGCAGAATAAAGGAAACATATGTCCAACCTCACAAGCTCAAACAACCCACAGATTTTAGAGATGCACTTCTTACCCACCTTGGCCACATCTAACATGCTAGACTTATGTTTGTTTGACCTCTTCTCAGAAAGTTAATGAAATGATTTTGTCAACATTGTTGTGCAACATTTCAGCCTCTGCAGTCTCTCATTATAAAGTTGCATGTTAACTGCAATGCCTTCTCAGTGACAACCTCTGAAACATCCCCTCTGAAAAGTATCACATGGCATCATTCCCCATAACAAACAATAACAGAAGGTTTGCTTCAAGGTGATCGTGTGTTGCTAAGGCCATGTTTTCACTTGCCCCTCTGAAGATTGGTCTTCTAGCATTTGATTTAGTGGGTCTAGTTAAGACCCATTAAAGTGAATGCTGGGGGCGGCTCTGGTCCGCACCGGTACTCCTCATAGTCACAAGAAGAAAGGGAAGCCAATGGAAGCATTGGCTCCTATTGGCTTCCCTCTGTAAAGACAGCGTCAAGCTTGGCTTAAGATAAGACAACTTCAGCTACGTATTTTAATTCCAGCTACGTATTTTATTTAGTTGGAGTTGTGTACCTTAAGCCAACCTTCCACATCTAGTCTGGCTTTAGTCTGGTTCTTTATCCTTATTGACTAATAATGATGACCATTCTGAAGTGTTAAGGAAGATTTACAATATTCCTCTGTGTGCAACGTATCCCCCTGTGTTTCTTATAGTTTGCTCTTAGCCATATACCATAGTAACTTGAGATAGAATTGTAGCATACTCCTATTACAGCCAAGTCATACTTCATTTAAGGAACTGAAATCCACATACTGTATATTCTTTTAAATGTGATTCTTGAGATCATCAGCAAAAGGTGCTATCTTATTTGTCAGAAGTACATCATATTATAATTGCATTAATGTTGACAAATGCAAAGTAATGTAAATTGGAAAATATAATCCCAACTATATGTACAAAATGATGGAGGCTAAATTAGCTGTTACCACTAGGGATCTTAGAATCATTATGGATAGTTCTCTGAAAACATAAGAACATAAGAACGGCCATAGTGGGTCAGACCAAAGGTTCATCTAGCCCAGTATCCTATCTGCTGACAGTGGCCAATACCAGATACCCCAGAGGGAGGTATCACAACAGATAATCCTCACGTGATCCCTCCTTTGTCATCCACTCAATGTGCAGCAGCAGTCAAAAAGGCAAACAGAATGTTAGGAATTATTTTAAAAGAGGTGGAGAATAAGTCAGAGAATATCTTATTGCTTTTATATAAATCCACATTACATACACCCACATCTTGAATACTACGTGCAGATGTGGTCGCCTCACCTCAAAAAAGGTATCTTGGCATTGGAAAAAGTTTAGAAAAGGGCAACAAAAATTATTAGGGGTTTGGAAAGGTTGCCAAATAAAGAGAGATTAATAAAACTGAGACTTTTCAGTTAAAAAAGTGGAGACTAAGGGGCGATATGATAGAGGACTAAAAAATCATGACTTTTATGGAGAAATAAATAAGGAAAACTTATTAATTTGTTTCCATAAACCTAAAAATTAGGGACCATCAAATGAAATTAATAGGTAGCAAGTTTAAAACAAACAAAAGGAGGTACGTCTTCACACAACACACAGTCAATTTATGGAACTCCTTGACAGAGGATGTTGTGACGATCCAGGACTTTAAAAGGATTCAAAAAAAGAACTAGACAGATACATTCATGCAGAATAAGTCCATCAATGGCTATTAGCCAGGATGGGTAGCAATGGTGTCCCTAGCTTCTGTTTGTCAGACAATGGGTGACAGGGAGAGGGATCACTTGATGATTATCTGTTCTGTTCATTCCCTCTGGGACACTTCACATTGGCCACTGTGGGAAGACAGGATACTGGATACTTTGGTCCAACCCACTATGGCTGTTTTTATGTTCTTATGCATTGACCAAGATCCCAAATTCCTACCTTTGTTTTTATCTATTTTCATGTATTTCTATATATTTTCATGCAGTGCCCAGCGCTGGCTGCTGGCTCCTGTGTGGTCTGGCCCCAACCCACAGCAGCAGGGCTACTCAGTGACACCTCCCACAATCTGGCACTGGGGCCAAGAGATGTGGTGGGGGGAGGTGTTTAGAGGTAAGAGGACCACTTATTCATGGATGGGGGCCAGCAATATGGAAAGTTCTGGCTCCAGATGGCCACTCTGTTCCTGATGCAGCTGCCCCTTGTGGTCACTCTGCAATATAACTGTCCCCTGTGCTCGCTGCCCGCTGTGGTCATTGTGGAGCATAGCTGTCCTTGTTCTCAGCCCCGTCCCTTTCCACATAATGTAAAACAATCAGATTCTAGGCACATCCCATTTTCCTGGCACAGCCAAACCCTGACCTTGCTTTAAGTTAGGATAAGAGGAAGCTGCATATCAAATTTGGTGGTCCAGCTCTTACCATTTACAAGGAATTCTTGAACAAATGGAATCACACACACACACACACACACACACTTAGCATGGTGAGCAACAAAAAATATTTTAATTCACCTCATACAAGTAGTGCAGTGCAGTATCTTAATGCAAATCTCTGAAATGCATCCTACAATACTCAAGAAGCTGATTGAGGAGATATCTGAACCATTTGCGATTATATTTGAAAAGCCATTGAATACAGGAGAGATTCCAGAAGACTTGAAAAAGGCAAAGTGTCCATTTACAAAAATGGAAATAAGGACAGCCCAGAGAATTACAGACCAGTCAGCTTAACTTCTAGTTGCTCAAATGCAAAATGGAAAATGACCACCTAGAAAGGAGTATTGCAGAAAGTGATCTAGAGATCATAGTGAACCACAAGATAAACATGAGTCAACAGTGTGACACTACTGCAAAAAAAGCAAGCATCATTCTGGGATGTATTAACAGAACTAATGAAAGCAGAACACGAGAGACAACACTCTAGCGTGCGCGCTCATTAGGCCTCAACTGAAATACTGTGTCAAGTTTTGGGAGCTACAATCAGAAAAAAAGTGGACAAATTATAGGTGGATCAGAGAAGAGCAACACATATGATTAAAGGACTAGAAAACAAGACTTAGGAGAGAAGATTGGAAAAATGAGTTTTTTTAGTCTGGACAAGAGACGACTGAGAGGAGGAAATGGTAACAGCTTTCAAGTACTTAAAAGGCTGTTATAAAGAGGAGGAATGATGACAAGAAGCAAAGGGCTTAAATTGCAGGAAGGGAGGTTGGACATTAAGAAAAACCTCCTAACCGCCAGGGTGGCTAAACACCGGAATAAACTGCCTACGGAAGTTGATGGATCTCCATCACTGGAGATTTTTAAAAGCAGTTTAGACAAACACCTGTCAGGGATGGTCAAACTGTAGATGGTAGTTAGTCCCATTTGTAACTTCTGGGGAGGGACACAAGAGGGGTGCAGGCCACATGACTGCCCCCCATGTGACTCCTCCCTGCCCTACCCTTACCCCAGGAGAGTCCCATCTCTTCCCACCCCCACCTTGCCCTCACTTCACCCCTTCCCTCAAGCCCGCACATCTGCTCCGTCCCCTCCCCACCCCTTCTCCATTTCCATCTCACCCCTACTCCACCTATTCCTCCTAGTCCCCCCCCCCAAGCATTGCAGCCTGGGGAACTAGTGAGGCACCTGGTGTGAGCAGTAGGGGTCAGGCTCCCCGCCGAGTGACCCAGCCCCAACCCACTCTGCTACACCAGCTTCCAGCCATATCACTCCACTTTCCACTGTCAGTGAGTGTGGGAGAGGTGCCATCCCTTCCCTGAAGCAATCTTCCCTGAGTGACACAGCTGGGAGCCAGTGGAGCACAGCAGACAGGGGCCGGGTTGCTCCACTTCCCTCTGCTGCTGGTGAATACAAGGGACAGGTCCGATCCCTGTTGTCGGGGCCAAGCCCTGCCCTCCCCATTAATTCCCCAGGGCATGTAGTCAGGAGAGGGTTCTTGAGGAAAAGGGTGGAATTGCCACCCCGCTCCGCACTTAGCAGCAGCAGGAAGCAGAGCAACACACCTGGGAGTGAGGAAAGCAGAGCAATATTCTCTCTTATTTTTGCCATCCATGTGTGGTATTAGTTATGTGCACCAAGGCACATGCAGATGTGCATCATCAATAGAAATATGCTGCCAGCTATGGGTGACTGAGCACTCTGCCAATCAGCTGGGCACCATTTGAATCTCTCCTGGGTGGACAAACCATCCTACGGACAGGATGGCTCTGCCCACAAGCTGCTGGTCCCTAACCCCTTCCCCCCAAGGCTTTTGGGAGACACCTGATCCTTTGCGCCTCCTCTCCCCCACATTGTCCCTCCTTGGTCCTGCCATGAATGAAGGGGACTGGACATTATGACCTCTCAATGTTCCTTTCACTTCTATTATTCTGTGTCAGGGGCCAAAAGGATGAACCTATTGCCAGCAGAAAATTTCCGTTTACAAGTAAAATCTTCTGCTGGGCAGTTCATATGAGTTTAGGCTCCTTTGTGCACCTGGAATAGCATAAAGCAGCCTTAATGGACCAGAAAACCTTGTACATGCTAGTTTAAAGACTAAAGGTGTCAAATGCAGCTTTTCAAGATTACTGCAGTTGCAATTTTGAAGTTGGCTCACAGATCTCTGAACAATCATATCTAGGAATAGTGGTAATTAAGCTAGATTGGAATATTCTTATTTGTTTTCCTTTGTGTACAGCATTATTCATCCAAGCAGCATAAAATCCAGCATGAAACACTAAAAAAACCAAATTAGCTAAACCTGATTGTTAAGCTACAAGCAGTACTAACTGAATAGAGGCCAAATTGGACTGGTATTGTTCATCACATTTACATATAATACGTAGGATTCAATTCCGCTCTTCACACTAAAAAGCAGAGATAAGATACTGACTGCGGCCTGTGTTTTAAGAAAATCTTGTATTTCACACATTCCACTGCTTTCTGAGCCACCAGCTCCTCAAGTTCAGTATGCTCCTCCATGCCAAAATAAATAAAAAGGTAAGAGATTGAGCACACGATGAAGTGTTTTCTCACCAAAGTTTCCCAAGCTGTTCTCTCTCGTGTCCACACGCATCTCTAGAGCCCTCACTCGCTGCAGATCATCTACCCCTGTCAGTGCTTTCTGTAAAGATAAGAATAGATGTGAATTCACAGACAGCAAGGCAGGTGTTAGATTAGAAGCACTTCCATAGCATGACAATGTGCACTTTTCAATCTACTCTAATTTAATTTCTGCTAGGAGCTTCATATCACTCTGGATTGCATGTAACCCTTAGTAACAAAAAATTTGCACTTAGCATGAAATTCACCCTTGCACTGAGGCCCAGTACAAGACTTACACACTAATTAAGGGTAATTGAAGCATGATCTTGTGGTCTTAAGTGCTACATAAACTTTGTACTAGGACTGTACACAAAGATGAATTCCACACTCGATGCCTACTGCAATCAAGGACATGTATATATTGATATTAATTTTTTCATAGTCATGCTGTTTACTCTCTTAGGCAAAGACTGTCAAAAATGACTAGTGATTTTAAGTACCCAATCTGAAAGGTCTTAATGGACCCTGATTTTCAGAAAGCGCTGAGCAATCTACCTTCTGAAAATCAGGCTCCTTTATAAAGTCACTTCTAAAGACTAAATCTTTAGTCAAACTCATTTCTGAAGATCTTGGTCCTAGGGCTAAATGCTGTGAAGTGCTCAATAATGCAAACTGAGTGCATTCCATACTTTGCAAGAGGCACTCAGTACCTCGCTGGATTAGGCTCAAACCCACCAAAGTTCCAAAAGTCAACATACACATGCATATTGGCATTCTGCTTTATAAAACCTGGGTTGTCCTTTGCACTTGTATTACAAAGAGGATGGGGGAGTAGAAAACAGATAGGTGGTCCCCACATATAGGAAAATGTTTAACATTAAAAAGTTACGGGCAAGCCGAGTGACCCAGCCCCAACCCACTCTGCTACACCAGCTTCCAGCCATATCACTCCACTTTCCACTGTCAGTGAGTGTGGGAGAGGTGCCATCCCTTCCCTGAAGCAATCTTCCCTGAGTGACACAGCTGGGAGCCAGTGGAGCACAGCAGACAGGGGCCGGGTTGCTCCACTTCCCTCTGCTGCTGGTGAATACAAGGGACAGGTCCGATCCCTGTTGTCGGGGCCAAGCCCTGCCCTCCCCATTAATTCCCCAGGGCATGTAGTCAGGAGAGGGTTCTTGAGGAAAAGGGTGGAATTGCCACCCCGCTCCGCACTTAGCAGCAGCAGGAAGCAGAGCAACACACCTGGGAGTGAGGAAAGCAGAGCAATATTCTCTCTTATTTTTGCCATCCATGTGTGGTATTAGTTATGTGCACCAAGGCACATGCAGATGTGCATCATCAATAGAAATATGCTGCCAGCTATGGGTGACTGAGCACTCTGCCAATCAGCTGGGCACCATTTGAATCTCTCCTGGGTGGACAAACCATCCTACGGACAGGATGGCTCTGCCCACAAGCTGCTGGTCCCTAACCCCTTCCCCCCAAGGCTTTTGGGAGACACCTGATCCTTTGCGCCTCCTCTCCCCCACATTGTCCCTCCTTGGTCCTGCCATGAATGAAGGGGACTGGACATTATGACCTCTCAATGTTCCTTTCACTTCTATTATTCTGTGTCAGGGGCCAAAAGGATGAACCTATTGCCAGCAGAAAATTTCCGTTTACAAGTAAAATCTTCTGCTGGGCAGTTCATATGAGTTTAGGCTCCTTTGTGCACCTGGAATAGCATAAAGCAGCCTTAATGGACCAGAAAACCTTGTACATGCTAGTTTAAAGACTAAAGGTGTCAAATGCAGCTTTTCAAGATTACTGCAGTTGCAATTTTGAAGTTGGCTCACAGATCTCTGAACAATCATATCTAGGAATAGTGGTAATTAAGCTAGATTGGAATATTCTTATTTGTTTTCCTTTGTGTACAGCATTATTCATCCAAGCAGCATAAAATCCAGCATGAAACACTAAAAAAACCAAATTAGCTAAACCTGATTGTTAAGCTACAAGCAGTACTAACTGAATAGAGGCCAAATTGGACTGGTATTGTTCATCACATTTACATATAATACGTAGGATTCAATTCCGCTCTTCACACTAAAAAGCAGAGATAAGATACTGACTGCGGCCTGTGTTTTAAGAAAATCTTGTATTTCACACATTCCACTGCTTTCTGAGCCACCAGCTCCTCAAGTTCAGTATGCTCCTCCATGCCAAAATAAATAAAAAGGTAAGAGATTGAGCACACGATGAAGTGTTTTCTCACCAAAGTTTCCCAAGCTGTTCTCTCTCGTGTCCACACGCATCTCTAGAGCCCTCACTCGCTGCAGATCATCTACCCCTGTCAGTGCTTTCTGTAAAGATAAGAATAGATGTGAATTCACAGACAGCAAGGCAGGTGTTAGATTAGAAGCACTTCCATAGCATGACAATGTGCACTTTTCAATCTACTCTAATTTAATTTCTGCTAGGAGCTTCATATCACTCTGGATTGCATGTAACCCTTAGTAACAAAAAATTTGCACTTAGCATGAAATTCACCCTTGCACTGAGGCCCAGTACAAGACTTACACACTAATTAAGGGTAATTGAAGCATGATCTTGTGGTCTTAAGTGCTACATAAACTTTGTACTAGGACTGTACACAAAGATGAATTCCACACTCGATGCCTACTGCAATCAAGGACATGTATATATTGATATTAATTTTTTCATAGTCATGCTGTTTACTCTCTTAGGCAAAGACTGTCAAAAATGACTAGTGATTTTAAGTACCCAATCTGAAAGGTCTTAATGGACCCTGATTTTCAGAAAGCGCTGAGCAATCTACCTTCTGAAAATCAGGCTCCTTTATAAAGTCACTTCTAAAGACTAAATCTTTAGTCAAACTCATTTCTGAAGATCTTGGTCCTAGGGCTAAATGCTGTGAAGTGCTCAATAATGCAAACTGAGTGCATTCCATACTTTGCAAGAGGCACTCAGTACCTCGCTGGATTAGGCTCAAACCCACCAAAGTTCCAAAAGTCAACATACACATGCATATTGGCATTCTGCTTTATAAAACCTGGGTTGTCCTTTGCACTTGTATTACAAAGAGGATGGGGGAGTAGAAAACAGATAGGTGGTCCCCACATATAGGAAAATGTTTAACATTAAAAAGTTACAGTCTAATTCATTTATTTTGTTTTAATCCAGAGAATAACATTTATAGCAGGGAAATAATTTGTGGAAAGACAACACGTTTGAGTCCACCACTGTTTATGTATTTTGGGGAAAACACAAGGGTGTAGCATTTGATCCCCAAAGTTATTTGGCCACCTAATTCCCACTGATTTCAACAGGAGTTAAGTGTTGAAATATCGTTAGATGCTTAACATAGAGATGTTGGAATTACAATATTCCCACACATTGGGTCAAATTCAGATGTAGTGTAAGTGGACACAACAGTTAACTTTAATGTATCATGTCCATTTTCAGGGAAGGGCTCAAACTCAGCCCTGGTCTATCTAATGATTTTTCTTCATTAAAAGAGAGCATTGTGTTAATACAAAACTGAGCTTTAAATATTTGTTAAACTGATTTTTAAAACTAGAGATTTAAGAGCACTGGCTCCAATAAAATGTATAAAATGTATTTTGTCCCCACTAGATTTTATTAGTTGAGGGGGATAAAGGTGTAAGATGATAGCCTAAAGCTGCCCAAACACACCCAGAATCTCAGAGTGTTCCTGCCACAACCACATCATCATCTCCCACAGAAACTGCTCTGATAGAGTTAGTTGCCTCCAAAGACATGTGATGTTCTCCTGAAAACAAGTCAGAAATTCTTCACAGCAAGATACACTCACTGTTGCAGTAAGGCTTTCCAATAAATGACACAGTTTAGTGCTGGTTTAGTGATAGATGCCATCATCTCTCAGAAGGATTAAACTAGATTAGAAAACTCAACAACATTTCTGATCCTTGCCTCACTGAGGACGAGACTGAGGCAGCTCACAGAAGGAAACCTGGAAATTCAGCAGATTCAAAGATCTGCAGAAAAATCAAAGGCTTCCTTCAGTCCCCAAGCATTTTCTCTGCACAGTTGCCCAATGTCCACCTCCACCAGGACTTTCTTAGGAATGGTGCTGATGTTGACTCTCCCCTTTTTTGTGTCTGTGCAGTAGAACTGACAGGACTCTGATGGAGTTGATATATTTAGCATCATTAATTCCTGCTCAGATTTCAGCTAAAAAATTCCTTAGATTTCTGCTCCATGCAGGGCTCTGAGAGAAACATGCCATATACAGCGTCATTACACCTATGGCTCCAGGTCAAGCGCGTATGACCAGGCGCATATAAGATATACATCAAGGCATGTTTGTAATTTGGAGTGGGAGGGAAGAAATAATGTCAGAATGTTGCTATTATTTAACGTCCTCACTAGGCTCTTCCAAATACTTTAACCATTTGGCTCCCAGTTCTTCCCTCCATCAGATGAGTTTCTTTGATTAGTTAATGTTTCACTATAATCACCATTGAATCAACCACATGACATATTGAGTACAACAGGCAGCAGCAAGATGGAGTACCTGGTATGACAGACAGCTGCAAAGCAGGTAAATTCTTTGAAAGTGACACTGTTATCACAGGAAGCATATGCAAGTTTATTAAAAGAGCATATTTGGAAGGTAGCTATCCTGCCAAAATGAAACTATAGCATGGATGGTGCAAGTATTAATAAAAGTAACAATGAGAAGATATGAAGAATAGCTAAAGTTATCAATAACTGAGTGTTGAATGTAAGCTTATCAAGTTACATCCAAACAGAAAGGTGAATGTAGCTTCACCTTGCTCAGCCAAAAATTTTATATATATTAGAAGCAAAGCAGCCATGTCTGTGACTATAAGCTCTGTAGAGAGACAAGGTAGGTGAGGGACATGGGTTGCAGGTATAAGAGGCAAGGGAAGGCAATGCCTTCCTTGGTTCTTAGTGCTCAATCTGTCCCTTCTTCCTAACCCTATTTTGACCATTCTGAAGGCTCCTACTGCACACATTGAAGCTTGCAGGCTCCTGACTCTTCCTTGGAAGTGGATCTGTTAACTTAAAAGTGAAAAGCCTTGCAGCTTGCCAGACCTATTAGCATAACACTGAAACTGTGAAAGAGCCATTAAGTTCTAATAACGCTATTTAACAGGCATGTGCCAACCTTGAATTTACTGACAAAAACAGGTGTGCATTACTATGTCTACAGGTTCTTAGTTTAAAATTTACTTTAAATCTTTCATTAGTTTGCGGCTGAAGATTATAAAATCACATTGCTAAAAAATCCTTGCGTAGATATTTAGATACACAATCTTGAGTATTCAACTTTAGCCTTAAATGCTTGGATCTTCAGACATAGTTTAAATAAATTCTTCAAAAGACCACCGTTATCTAAAATACACATTTTAATTTCTATAGTAAAAAAGCCCTTGCTTCAGAAATCTTCCTAGCCTTTCTCTCCAGCCCTTTTCTCCTTTAAACTCCCTGTTGAAGAGAGCCCTTAAAGGGACAACATTCCTTTTCTTCCAGATAGCTGGGCAAATGAGTTTCCCTTTTACTCCTGACTACTGAATGAACTAGTTTTAAGAGAACCCTCCCCCCAATCAGTACCTTACTAAGATATAAAATCATTTGTTATGCGTAAAATCTCTGGAAACATATTTTTAACATAATCATATAGTGAAATTTCATGACAAAGTGTATGCTCCTTTCTATTTTCCTCACTAGGGGTATGTCTAGACTAAATGGCTCCGTTGACGGAGCCATGTAAAATAGTTTACTCGGCATAGTCAAAGAAGCGGGAATTTAAATAATCCCGGAGTCATTAAAATAAAAATGGCCGTTGCACTGTGTCGATGATCAACTGATCCGGCACAGCGCGGCAGTCTAGACACGGCGTGGTTGACAAAAGCTTCCCTTGTTGACTACGCAGCGTCTAGACTGCCGTGCTGTGCCGGATTATCTGATCATCGGCACAGCACGGTGGCCATTTTTATTTTAATGACGCGGGGATTATTTAAATCCTCGCTTCATTGACTATGGTGAGTAAACTATTTTACATGGCTCTGTCAACAGAGCCATGTAGTCTAGACGTATCCCAGGATTTGACTTTCACTTTTTAAAAGATGTCTTTTTATCGGTCACTGCTTCTTTTACTTGGTTGTTAAGCCATGGTGGCACTTTTTTGGTTCTCTTACTGTGTTTTATTAAGTTGGGATATACATTTAAGTTGGGCCTCTATTATGGTGTTTTTGAAAAGTTTCTATACAGCTTGGAAAGATTTTACTTTTGTCAATTTGCCTTTTAATTTCTGTTCAACTATCTTTCTCATTTTTGTGTGGTTCCCCATTTTTGTGTGGTTGAGCTGCTGAGGTGTTTTTCCCACCATAAGGATGTTAAATTTTATTACATTATGGTCACTATTTCCAAGCAAACCAATTATATTTACCTCTTGAACCACTTAGGACTAAATTAAGAATAGCCTCTCCTGTGGGTTCCAGAACCATCTTCTCCAAGAAGAAGTCATTTAAGATATCAAGAAATTTTCTCTCTGCATCCCGTCCTGAGGTGATGTGTACCCAGACAATACAGTCGCTCTAATCTCCATTAGCATTTCATAGTCACTATCACTGTCTTGATTAGGTGGTCAATAATATATCCCTACTACTATATTCTTATTATTGGAGCATGGAATTATTATTCATAGAAATTCTATGGAACATTTAGGCCCATTTAAGATTTTTACTTCATTTGATTCTACATTCTAATCTGAAACAAACCTTCACTGGAGGATTTCCCAGGGCCAGAGAACACAAATACCCTTTTCCTCCCTCATCCCCCAAAAAAACTATACTATAAAGAGAACACCAATATTTTCTTAAACTAACAGTGCCTCCATAAAATCAGAATAAGGTGCAAGAGTCAAATACCCTTAACACTATCCACTAAATAAGAATTAAGATTCTGAGCTTGCAACATGTTCTGTGCAGCTGGACCTCTGTTCTTACACAATGCTTCAAGGTTGGGGACAGGAGGGGAGATTGCCTGTACAGAGAGTTTGCAGAATCAGGTCTTAAGCATATTCTCAGATGAATGAAAAATACATCTGGCTTTAGTGCAGGGGTGGGGAACCTTTTTTGGATTGGGGGCTGCTGACCCACAGAAAAATCCCACCCCTGTTTTAGTGATAGAAATGTAGCCGTGTTAGTGATAGAAATGTAGCCCTGTTTTAGTGTATGTGTGGTTGCCTTTTTATTTTAATTTCACTCTTGTATTCAATTTCTTTTTTGGAACACTGCAGAGACTAGAACTCAGTAATAAAATCCAAAAT